TCTTTTTTTTTTTAGTTTTGATGGCTGCTGCAAAATTAGAAAGATCCAGAAGTGGTCAGGGGCTTTTTTTTTTTCACTTCCAAAAGTCCATTATAAAGATGAATATAAATGCATATGATATGGTTTTTCTGTAGACCCACAAACCACGCTTAGCTATAAGAAACATATTGTGCATAGTTATTTTTTTTTCTTCAGAGTGATATGTTTACTAGGTCTACATTCTCAATTTACCAGAGTACAGGAATGTCTGCTTTACTAAAGCCAGGATCCTTTCGCAGTTCCCAGTAGGTTTCATTGGTAACCCAGGCTTCTCTTTGATTAGCATCAATAACTTTTCTGTAGAAAGGGGGAAAAAAAGAGAGATAAAGAGATGAAGAAAGTTTTTACCTTAGATATTGCTCTTATGCTATATAAAATCAAATTCCACACTTCTCTGTTTTAATGCAGTATTAAATCAAATTTCATATTTCTAAAGAACACAAGAACAGACAAGAATTTAAAAACAAGAATCAACCTCTACCTATATCAAAAGCAGAAGACAGAAAAGACAGCTGAGACTGAAAATCTGTTGTTTGATCTGTAAGAGCAGGTCTTAGAGCCACCTAAAACCCCTTTGTTCACTACAGATTCTGATTATGTGAAGAGGATTATCCAGTAGATATAGCTCACAAAATGTAAGCCTTTAATAATTTATTTTTTTGTCTCTGCATTTTGCTTGTATAATGCTACAGTTATATCACACACATTCAGTATTTTCACTTTTGATTCCCCATGTTAGACATGAGGCTACTTGGCATGACTATTCCTTGTTTCAGAAGACTACTTAATTAAAAAACAGTCAATGAAGAAACACCTTCATTCAAAAATACATGCATTTTAAATGTATACATATACATTTATATATACATGTTATATATATGTATGACGTTGCTTTTCAGGTCACATGGTATTACTTGTCTATGCAATGACTTTAAAATGCCCCTAGTTAAATCTTAGATCCTAATATTATACTTCTAATTCTACTTCAGCAGGAAGGCTTGTATAGCTGAGGCCCATTATGAGAAAATGATCATTTAATTATGAAGCTTAATTGTAAAAATTGTTTCAGAGAAGCAGGTATCAGATATCTTACTACATTACTTAGAAATGCAACTTTCCAAGCTTTCATGGTTATCAGTCTGTGTTGGTAGTAATTCTTGTAGTATTTCATTCACTTACACGATGGAAAACAGAGACTTACTACTCAAATGAAAAGACTCACTTAAAAAACTTGGGTACATATTCAATGCCATTTTCTTCCATGTACCGCCTCCGAGCTCTCTGGAGTTCCTCTATTCTTTGTTTCTCAGATGCTGCTGCTTCTATATTTCCTTCCTCCAGAAGCCTGTAGGAATAACAGCAGGCTGTATAGCAATTACACAGTGTCTAAACCAAAGGATTTTCCAGCACCAATCATCATAAAAGGCAAGCAGAAGCCAAGTGTGTTGTCAGTGTTGTACTTTCAGATCCAGCCTGAGACGCGACTCCCCAGCTACGCATACCTGACCTAGAGCCTAAGGCACACGCTTTGTTCAGCAACTTCAGCATATCACAAACACTGAAGAACTGTGAACTGAGATTTGGAAGGAATTCGTTTTGCTTCTATCCATAGCAGAAGTGCAGAACATTTCAGAGCCTGTTTTCTAGTTTGTCATGAGGAATCTGCCCCAAGGTTACACTATAGCTCTATGGCATCAACAAGAAGCTTTCTAATTTTCCTCAGCTGGGCTAAGCAGAAATTTGAGTACAATACTGACTATCTTCTCTACTAGCAGAATCCTCCACAGCTTAATTCAGACTGCAGTGAAGATATAGACAAAATTCAAGACTCAGCCAAACCCAGTTTTGAGCCCACCAAATATTAAATGGATAAATAAGCATTCTTGCCTTTGATCTGGCCTGAATCGTGCATCTGTTGCAGGAAGAAGATCTTTCAGTAAAGGATCTAATTCATTGAGCTCAATAGCAAACCTTGTGAAGCCGTAATAACGCTCATAATTGGTTGGCATGGAGCCTGTACACATAAGACAAAGAAAAAAGCTTTTAAGCTATCACTGTAAATATGCAAGACATTTCTTCATTTACAAACTTTTAACAGAAAAATATTTTACTTTTCCAGTTAAAAAGCGTCAAAAGCTATTCTTTAAGTGAAACAAAATTCAATAAATATTAATATCAACTGCTTATCCTGCAGAGATTGTAATTATATGTTAATAGACTCAAAGCTTTTATCATCTTCCCACAATTTTAAATAAAAACTAATTATTTCAAGCTTTTCAAATTAAAAACAGTTTCCTGTTCCCCAGAAAGTGGGTCTATGAAATGTCTGTCTAAAATCTAGCCTTAACTAGATTTAGAGTTCATTTTGGAACTTAGCACACACTCACAGACTGATTCGACACTACAAGGAGTCAGAACAGACATTGAAGAGAGCAGGGTGCAAAGTAAGGTTCAAAATACCAAAAATAAAAATAGGATTTAAAATTCTAAGAACAATAATTCTTGGATAATGCATGTATGAAAGATACAGGTGCAAAGGATGACTAATTCAACCTCAGGCCTTTAAGCAAGCAGGAAGTTGAAATCAGATCCTGAAAGTCCCAGGTGTTCACCATCTCTGAAGACCAATCCTTTAGGCTAATAATGCATTAGGACAACAAACTTAATAAACCCTATTTGGTGAATCCAAAAAAGTTACCCTGCTCTCTAGCAGAATGCAGACAGGCCAGCTCAGATGCCAAATTTTTTTTCTTTATTTTATTTTTCTGTTGACCCCAAGGTCCTAGCACATCTGATCAGGGGTCAGACCAAGATGTACAAGATTACACCCTGTAAGAACATTTCCATTTACCATTATTATAAACACATGCAAATTGTTGTTTGTCTAGACAGGGATTGTAATTTCTCTAGTATTATTTCATGTATTTAAAATGTAGGCTAAAACAGCTTCACACCTCCCAGAATTTTTTACAAGCTTCTTACCTGGCCTCCATATGCATTTGGCTGAAGGTGCAACCCCACAATAGAGGCCTTCATGCCACTTTCCAAAAAGACGGTGAACCACCTTCCCTTCTTGATCTATCACAACACCCTGGACCTCATTTACATTTGAATTCCAGTAGTTCACCTGCAAGTTTAACCAAGAATTACTAGCTCACACTGCTTCTCCAATAACCCATTGTACTAATACACATAATTAATGTATCTTGGCACGTGGTGCCAACTGTCCAAATTCTATGTTGGAGTGCCTCACCTGGAACTAAGAATACCAAAATTGGAAAATCATATGGTCCTAACACTAACTGATTTAGTATAGGAGAAACACTGCATAATTTGCAATGCGATTTTGACATAAAAGCATTTAAATTAACTGCACATCTGGGAACTACATTGTCATTCATTAACCCAAATCCCACACAATTCAGCAAAAATAACCCTTTGCCTGTCAGAGCCAGCTAACACTCCTCTTTCTATATGAGGAGGTATTGAATATACCTGTACTTGTAATCTTTTCATGGGTGCTGAACACTGCTCTATGCAGCAGGGAAGACATTCAGCCAATATTACGTGTTATTTCTTTCTGTTTCTCTTTTCTGTTTTGCTTTTCTTAGGCATATTTAGCTCTTACACCTTCATCCAAGAGCCAGTTGCCCATTCTCAGATTATCCAACAAAACACAAATTTCAGATTTATGTTAACACCCCATTGCTAACACTAAAATGGTATCAATGTCTTTTGTTGCAATGTGAAGACAAATTTATTTTTAGGGAAAATACTTGATAGTAACATAGCTATACAAACTTATATTTTTATATATGGTCCTTGCCTGGATATTAACCAAAGCAGCAATACAAACATGTAAAAAGATAAAATATTGACCAGCAAATTCTAGTAGAAGGAGAAGCAAAATGGTAGTGTACAGTGACTAAAAAAGACATTTCATTTTCAATCAAAAACCAGCAACAGCACACAGCTATACAGCATTGGAACACACTGATCCCAAATGTTCAGTGGAATAGAATCATACTAATTGACATAGCATTCTCTTTGACAATTTACATTTTATGAATAGTGATAAAAGGAATAGAAGATAAAATGTGGAATATGGACTTCAGAAATAGTGAAGAAACAGCTTGATGTACCTTTAAATTACACAGTTATATGAATATAAGATATATATTAACATCCATATGTTACCTTGACAAAAGTGAGTTTACAAATACAAACACTGCTTTTTGTGTTTCTGATAGTTATCTCTCCATAGTGCTCTATCCATCTCCTTCCACTAAGAATATTATGTATGCAAGTAGTGACTTTGTTCCAGACATAGTAGTCTCCATACCTAAGAACAGATTAAGAAGTAGTTGGCAACATCTGTTCATCATGATCATTACTGACAAAAAAGTAAAACATTGCTCCTTTATTGTAAAAACAAACGATATTGCCCAAAAACAGCTGCACAGATGACAAAGTCCTGTATCTGGTTACATCACTAATCCTCCTTAGAGAAGCCCACCTAAGCTCCAGGGCACAGAACAACAGAAACACACTGAAGCCCTGCATGGTCTATTCACTGTCCTATTCCAGAGCATGAAGTGCTTTGGCCACAATTCCTATAGGGGCAGGACAGTGACCCAAAGATCAACATGAGGCTGAATTAAGACTATAAAACAGAAAATGTAATTAAATCACAAATAGATCAAAATAAATATGATAAATCAAGGAAAGGAAGAAGGAAGCCAGGAGCACACTAGCACATCATCCCTTTGCCTTTGTAACAACTATCCAGTTGCATCTCTAACATCAGACAAGAGAATAAAACCAGAGAATTATATTATGCAAAGCATATTCTCCTTCACAGTTTAGGGAAAGCATGCAGACAGAAGACAAAGCTGCTCCAGAGTGCATTTACTTCAATCTTAAGAGATGGATAAAGTGGTGAAGTGATGCTATACTGATAGAGGCAGAAAGAAAGGCTGGCTGCAATGTACAGGAGCAAGAACACCACAACAAAACCAGAAGACGTATTTAATGTACCCACTCCTTGCATATTCTTAGGATTTACAAGCTGCAACTAGTCTCACTGGTGGTGAAGCTACTGCTTCTCATTACTCTGCCAAACCATCTTCACACAAAGAATTAAGAATCTACTTTGGTTTATCCACATTTTGAAAAAAGACCTTTCATGGTCTGGTTGTTCTGAGGGACACTCAGCAGCCTTAGGACTGAGAGCTTTAGGACAGCCCCAGCTGCTGGCAGTCCTGCATTGCAGCCTTGTTCAGCTCATCGCTGCTGTACATACAAAACATGGGTTCTCTCTCCTAAAACATTTCTATCCCCCTCTCTCCATCACATTCTAGAGTGTCTGTTTTTCTTCCAAAACCCAAAATGGATTTTCAGGCTCAAAAATATTCCAGTAGCCCCACCTGAATACTAAGGAGAGATTAGAGCTGGGCACCAACTCTCATCAGTACAATCCATGTGATGTCTGCTCACCCCAACCCATTCACAAGGCAGCACAGACTGGAGTGCACCCAAGGTTGAAAACAAGAGGAGAATAGCTTACTTTGGAAGAGTCACATTCAAGGTTCCAACAGGCAGAATTTCCATTGATTTCCCCCAGAATTTGTTTTTCCACCTGATATCTGAATATAATAGTGAAATACTTAAAAAATTGAAATTACCAAGGTCTCCCCCTTGCACTGATCTGTGTGGCACCAGATCATCTGTACTGGACTACCCAATTCTACAGGGCAGTAGATAGTAAGAATTTGCCATGAAAATACTAAAGAAAAAATACTAGAAAATTACATTAGGTCAGAAAAATTAGATGTAAGTTTAATTAAGAATTGTGTCTGTGCTGCATGATTATCAAATCTCTTGTGCAAACATTCAATACAAATTAAAGGCATACACCATTTGGTACAAAGAAAGAAAGAGTAATTCTTCAACTGTAAAAAGAGCTGCTTGTGTTTGTAAGAAATAGTAATTTTATTGGTAAAAACCTGTTAAATAGGAGAGTATAAACAGGCTGCAGCTGACAGAGGAAGTTGTAGCATGTTTGTTCACTGTTAATGAGAATTTGGAGTAAAACAGATCATCAGTTTATAAGACGTCACTTCAAAATAGTAAGTATAGACATTCTGAGTAAGTTCCAAATGCAAAGCTCAGCTTTTACAAAGTTTTTGCTTGACAATAAAAAAGGAGTTATGCTTTTGAAGTAAAAAGTGTACCTTGCCAAAACACAAAGTTTTTCGATTCACAGTGACAGGCCGAAATGGGAGGATGGTGGCTAACCTGAAACACAGTTTGGTTGAGTCAAAAACATTTAATTTTCATTCCTAGGACAGTACAATTTTTTTTGCAATATTAAAATACTAAATAGCTCATGTTGCTATGAAAACAGATATAACTTAAGTGATTGTACTTAAAACAGTTACTAGTGATTACTAGAAAGATGTACTCCTTCTAGCCTTTAATGAAGTTCACTCATATTAACAATATTTATTTACTCCTAAGAAAGAAAACCATTCTAAGCAGAAAGAAAAAATGGGATCGTTCTATAAAATGAAGAACAAAAAGTGGACATCTAAACAGGAGTGTCTATCTAGAAACAAGGTTTACCTGCTCTGAGAAAAATCGAAATCCTTTGTCTTCTCTAATACATTCATAAGTTTCACCAAGCACTGGGTTAAATGGTTTGCTTCCTGCTCTGAAGTAGGTAGAGGCATAGCCTGATGCTGCAAAGGCAGCTATAAGAACCTGTAAAAACACAGACCAGAACATGAGAATAGCAGACATTCTTGTGTATGTGCCATCACTGTGTGGTACCACATAACTCATTTTGCTCAGGGACAACTAGATTAATGAAGCATGCCTGAGAATGAAACCATGCATCCCAGCCAGAACCAGTATACACTTTATTTCTTCTGTTGATAGGATTTCTTTTTCTTCATGGCCTCATTCAGTCTTTCAACAGTCCCTTAAAATGACAACCTGCACATGACACAGTTTTTCTGCCTTTGACCAGGCTTTTCATTAGTGACCTAAAACAGACCCAGCTCTAGTCCTTCTTCCCATGAATAAATATTATGTAATAACTTCTAATTACAAGATCACATACCATTTTCCTATGGGAACTATTTTATTTAGTAGCAAACATAAACAGTTCGCACTTAGGATGTTCTTAGTCTAGAGTTAGCTCCAAATCTTCCATACATATACAGCCTTAACAGCCAGCCCTTTTGTCTATATGTACAACCACAATTTAATATTCTCTCAGCCAGGCCTGACAGGCTGTGAAGTGGCATGCCATGGTAATTTAGTTTACAGGTCACATTTGCAGAGTTTTCAAAAAAATCACATCAGCCAGTCAGAAGTCCAAACAAAATTTCAGAAAAACAACAGAGGGATAAAAATTAGTCAGCTATTGGCAATATGCTACCAATGGGACAAATCTTAACCAGGTTCTCCTCTGCTAGTGAGGACACAGCCCTCATGTGAGGTTTTATGTGCTTAGTTTTCTTCCCACTGTGTAATGGGTGCTCCATTCTCTATTCACTTTATATTATTCAGAAATGCAGCCTCGACAAAATTAACACTGCTTTCACAGGCTTTTCTTCAACAGTAAAAATCTTAATTCTTCTAAAACTGTTTTCAGGTTAATTTCAACTGCCTTTTCAATTTAACTACAAGACACTGCAGAGAAATGAAGGAGTTTACTAACCCTGTGATACAGAGAGCAATGTGAAAAAAGAAAGGTTTCCACTATTTTTGGATGCTTATAGAAGATAACAAAGTTCTGATCTTTCAGAGAACAGTGAACAAGCAGTAACATATTCACAGCATTCCTGCCACAAGCTTTGGGTATTCAGTTTTTTTCCAAGTAGTCCCATATGCCTCAGTTCAGGTGTAGTTTGCATTTTTAGAGGTGCTGTTAAAAAGTTTGGCTTGTACTCCCAAGTACTGCAGTAGACATCTGTAGCAGAGAAGGGGATTGAATCCACATTTTCAAGGAAGCTTTCAGTTGCACCATGGCTTTTCATTCCTGAATTCTCCCTACTTCAATATTGACCTTTCAAACTTTTCAACAAAGGCAGCAATCAGTCTGTTTTACTCCTTGCAAAGCTGCCAGCTCCTTACAGAATCTCCCTCCTTTTGTGAGGGACAGGATCACAGAATGCTCTGGGTTGGAAGGGACCCACTGTGATCCCCTCCTGTGTCTTGTATGAAAACAGAATGTGATGGTGAATAATTCAACTCCCTTTCTCAAGATAGGTTCAACTTCTTCAGTGTTTAGGATGCCTCATTCTCCTGCAGGCCTTGTGAACACGGCAGTTCAGGGACTTGAGTGTGCGACTGTATAAAGGCAAAGGCAACCTCTCTTCGCCCAGTTATCCACAGTGCTACCAACCCCTACCAGGGAACAGCAGATATGTTCAGCAATGCTGCCAACCTTCCCTTACAGCCTTTCCCTGCACCTTCTGAGGAAAAGGAGACATGACAGATCAAAGCACCCTGAGAGCTGAGCTCAGGCTGCTGGCTGTCAGTAAAAAAAACAAATCAGACTTACAGGGGAGCTGAAGTCAGGCTGTCCAGGCAAACTTTGTTCTGGTGTTTTGAAACTTCTCTCTTAGAAATTGCCTGGGAGGACATCTTATTCACACCTATATTGATCATAAGGCAGCTACAGACTTGATTAACTCTTGAAGGCTGCTGGATTTGAACATTAAAAGCCAGAAAAGTATGCTGCAGAGCTAGAAACTTCCAATGCCTACATCTACTGTCATAGAGCATTAGATCAATCTTAAATAAATGAGTTACAACTGCAGGACTTGGTTTGAGGTCAAGAAAAGTCCCACGGCCTTGTTCAGATCAAACCTATGACCTGTAACTATTCACACTTTTCTGACCCTGCAGGGAGGTCTGTTGTCTGTGACCAGAAGGGGAAAGAGAAGACCCTACACAGACCCCACTCAACAGCTCCCTTTTAAACACAGACAGAAGAAGTGCTACACTAAATGCATTACCATGCGTTCATAAGGATCATCTGTTTCAGCAGCCTTGTCTAAGAGTTCACTGTATTCCAACTCTTCACAAAGATGTTGCAAGGTATTCAGAGGTTCGTTTAGCTCAACTGGCATGGATACTTTGGAAAGATCTTTACCAATGTTATTTCTCAAAATATTCCACAGATTGATGTTACTGGTGTCAGGGCTGGGAGCTGGGAGACAAGTCCTCCGTCCATTTCTGAATGCGCCTCCTGTCAGCTCACCATTAAGAACTGGGAAGGGAAGAAAAATATTGTCATAAGAAAGCACCAGACTAAGAAAAACAGAGTCCTGCATTCAACCAAATCACTGCCAGAACAAACAAGCCCAACTTCATTGTTTGCAGCTGAGCAGGTCTGGTATTGACATGCAGTAATTCTGGTACATGAACATAACCAATGTAATTTCCCAAAGTTTGAAACACAGTATACTTTGCCGAGAAATGTTGTCTGCAACACTGGTGTTGTCCTCAGATATATTGTCACTCACATCACTGATATAAGATTCATCATCAGAAGCCTAAAACATAAATAAAATATCCATTAACTCAAATACATATAAAATATACTGACAAAACAGACAGAAATAGTTAACCGAAACACAAATATTAATAAAAAAAATCTCTATCCAATTAGAACTATTAGCTAAATAAACTGAATATTTCAATCTGTCCATAGTACCAATGTTGTCAAAACAAAGTGTTACGTTGTGCTCATGTTTCTGAATTCCTTATTATCCAAATACAGACATGAGATCTGCAAAAGGTGGTTTAAGTAAGATCAGGGATGAAAAAAATTGGTAACATAATGTGCTAGGGATGGAAGGTGAGAAGAGATAGTCAGATTTGTGCTGTTTGTAAAGAACCAAACAACGAAACATGACTTACATTTCAGCAAACAAATTATGTAAACATCAGTCTAGTATTTTGCAAAGCAAGAACCTCATCAGCATTAAGAATGTTTTTAAAAGTTATTTTACACAACTGTTTTTCTAGAAATATTACTTTTTTGACTATTTCTCTTATTACAGAGAATTATTTTATATTCATATGTAGTAGAAGATTTTTTAAAGAATATTTGAAAATCTAAATTTAATTGACTGCAGATTCAGCTGTAACTGTATGTCATCCTTAGGTGGAACTGCAATCGCCTGGAAAGGACATGTACTGAATGTACGTTACTCACACAACTAACTTGCAACTCAGTTTTACACTTCAGGGAACTCCTGCACCTCTTTATGTGATCTCAGGTTTGTTTATCTACACTTTACCAATTTTGATACCTTTTTATTCTAAGTAGCATTACTAAAAATAAAAAAAATTCACTAACTCTGTCCTGCAGCATGCTGTCACAGCCTACCTCGTTTTCTGATGAGCTGGCGGACAGAAGCACTTCCTGTGCGTCAAAGAACTCAGAAACAGATTCAGACATAGAGAGCCTGCTTTCATTAGAAACTTGCTGAGACAGTGGCAAACTGACATGAATTTGTTCACCTGTCTGTAAATAAAGCACAGAAAAGTAAAAGTATTATTTCTAATATTAAAGAAATACGCGTAGAAGGGGTAAATCACCTGAATAAGATTTCTATGATAAATACAAGCACAGAGCATAAAGACAGCATTTTAGTAGGACTTTGTGTGTACCTAACAGATGACACTGAGGATGACAAAATAAAGTGCATTTTGAACAGTGAGATACATGTCTTCTTTTGAGGCCTGCCCAGCATCTACTGCCAAGATTTAGCAGCATGAAACTGCAGATCTAGTTCTCTATGCAGAGGATTGATTTTGTGGACAATAGCTGGGTTGTGTCAGACATGTTCAACCATGAATTTCAGATTAAATCACCTCTGGTAATAACAAATTATGTCATTTGATACAACTAAAATTTAATTATAAAGATTTATAAGGTCTGGGAGCTATAAGTTACTTTCCAAATAAATGACCTTGCAAACCAGTTTAGTAACAATGATTGAAATGCTTGAATATTTAGGAGGATAGCTATAATATGTATTTTATGGGCTTCTATTCTATGTTTATACTCCAAATCTCATTTGCATTATGCCATTAACACTGACCCAATACTACTAAAAGAAATTAACTCTCTACAGTTTATTATAAAGAAATGTAACAGCAAAGTCAAGGATTCAAAACTGTGCTATGTCGATGTCAGTAGTGCAACAGGCTAAAACAGTGAAATAGACCCTCCTCTTCCTGCTAGTGATGGGTGGAACACCAGATCAGTGTTACCCTGCAGGCTATCACATTAAGAAAAAATTAAGATGCTCTCCCTGTACCATTTTACCACAGGATCTGTTGCTGTGGAGGGAAATAGATCTTGGACTTAATCCCTTAATTCATACAGCATGTTGTTCCTGGGAGATAATACAGATGAAACTACTGAAGCCCTTTTAAACATGGTTAACTCTTCAGATTGCAACACAATCCCCGTTATAATCTCATTCCAGAACTCCTGCATATGGTTTTGTTGACATCTTAATTCTGTAGAATTATTCTATACAGTTACCTCAAAAAGTACTAACAAAACATCCCCAAAAAGCATAAACAAGCCAAGAGGTCAAAACCCTTTTTTTTTTTCACTAGGTCTGATAAAACTGTAGATGGATTGTGATGCTTGATGTTTGTTTATAATGAAAACAGAGGTTCATTTTACCATAATCATTACAGGAAGTGACCAAAATTTTGAGGTTTCACATAAACTAGAGGAACTTGGAAAAATACACATGCTCCAACATGCTCCTACCTGAAAAAGACCCTCACACAGGCTTTATCTATGTGCTACAAGACTATAGACATATATATAAAACAAGTTAAGATAACTGAATGAGAGATCTGGAAACTTTAAAAAATTTCTTCAGTCAGGCTTAATTCTACCAAGACAATGATGAACAAATGAAAAAGGAACAGCTAACCAACAAAAATTACAGAACAGAAGAGAAGGTCATGCCCAGAACTCCACTGTAGTTTGCTGTGCTGTGGCACCACTTCACTTCTATGTTCTGTTGCTAGCCTCCAGCAAGTTTGATTTTTGGAAAAATTGTTTAGACATTTTCAGAAAGCAAATAAACAAAAAAATTTTACCTTTTTTGTTTGTTGCCAGAAATATCTAGGAGACAAGACTATGTTAATTGAAATGGCATATGCATAGAAAAAAATAGTGGAAATGACAAATCAAAAACATTTTTGTAAAATGCAAGCAGAATGGTTGCCAAAGTGACCATACTAATTGTAATACATTATAGTTCACAAATTCAGATTAGTCACGAGGGAAGCTCACTGGTATAAATACAAATGTTTGTTAATCTGTTGACTAAGGAAAGCAAAACAAGAAAAACTAAATGTTGCAAAAAATATTAGTGCAGTGCTTGGTTCATGGACTGAACCTTTTGATTTTAACAATACCACTTAAGATTCTAAACATGAGGCCCTTTACACACTTGCAGAATCAGGTCATTAAATTATTAATTGTTCTGTTGATTTGGCAAGAAACTAAGGTACAGAATTGGTTAGCTACTGTGTAATACATTCAAATGTAGTAAAACCTCACTAATTCCCACAGCCAACAATTAATATTCCAAAATTGGAGTCCTTCTCTGTTCCAGTAAAGAGACCAAGCTCAGTTCTTTCATTTCTGACATATGAAAAACAAAAGACTGAAGTTTTATTGTAGGTAAGAAAATATAACCTTACTTTTTCTATGACTTAATATTTGCCAATCTGAAAAATTCAATAAATTTCTACGTGTGTTTCAGCTATTTAGTGAGAATTAGCAAGGTTTGTTTGTATTCTAAATCCATTAAAGGCCAAAGTCTTACCTCATCAGGACTAGGGATAATATTTACACTGACAACCTGATCACAAATAACAGATTCTGAATGTATTCTGTTCAAGCGACTTCTTAGTTCAGCATTCTGGTTGAGAGCCTTAAAATAAAAATTTTAAATTTCATTTAAAATTAAAATGTAAACAATAAAAAAAAATAAAAAGAAGAAGAAAAAATAAAAATAATAAGAAAAAAAGCTTCTTTCCAGCAATTTCCTAAAAAAAAAATCACAGAACTTCCTTTCTTTCATTTATAGGGACATACCTATTTTGAGATCCTCTCTAACATTACTTCATCTTTGGTTACACTGTCTTCACTGTTTTTCAGGAGACAGGGGGATAGATGTTCTCCCACAATGTAACACTGGCATTCTACCTCAGTTTTTCAGAGAGCTCCTTGGCAGGTGTACTGGTGGGTTATGTACATTATGGAAATGGGGAGTGAATGCAGCAACAAAGAGTGAAACTGCAGAACAATAAATGGGAACTACCCACAAAATGTCCAAAGAAGCAATTGTTGGTTTACAAGTATACAGCTTCTTCTGAGTCAAGGTTATCAGCACGCAGAGGCTGCAAACAGAAATTGCTTCTTTCCAGTAAAACCAACATAATTGCCAGTATCATTGTCTACCCATCTAGATCAATTTTATCGGTTTGCCTTTGTACTTATTTCAAGCTAGTGATCCACTACAGTATCACAAATACCAACAGAATAACACTGGTGTCTGGCATCTGCTGTTTATTCTATTTTAAAGTCCAACCTTGATTATAAATGTGGGTGCATATATAATGTATTATCTGTTGCTTGGAAAGACTAGTGTACAAGATTCTGAAATCCAGAACTGTAATATTCTACATATCTAGAACATGGCTGATTTAGCCTTGATATATCCCCAGCACTGAGGATTATAGAAAAGAAGAACAGAGAGACATTTTGTTCCAGTAGCAAAGGATTGTTACAATGGAGTAAGACCCTTCTTCTGTCTCTCCCTTGTGCAGATTGAGGAATAGATTGCACAAATGTACTAAAACAAAGAAAGACCAAAGGAAAATGGGTAAGCTTAAACCGCCACTGAACAGCTTAAATTACCCAGTTTTGCTTTGTTCTGAAATGGTCTGGGCACGCTCCTAGTTGGCATCCCTCTGAGAGGGAAGGTAATGACCAACAGCAGCCTGACAGTAGCTTCTTCAACAGCTCAAACCTGGTCATGAGACTGGACAAACCTAGTCACAGTCAATTTTCCACTTCCTCTCCATTGAGATTGTGAACTAATGTGTGACAGTGACTTTTAAACTAACGTTAGAGGCCAGAACCAAGAAGAAAACATGATTCCCTATTTCATGCAAGTTGCTAATAAATATCCACAGGTTTTAGATAAATTTGTGTCAATAACCAGTTATGCTCCTAACCCATTTTTATCACAATGCACAGAAAACAATCTGCATAACAGGCTATGCATCTGCATCTATAAAAAGGTTTGTCTTTAAACATCTGCTCATATTTCTTGCAGATGTAGTCCTCCACACCAATCCATAAAATGCTTTTATGCTTCCTTGACAATGAATTTTGAAAAATTGAGTTATTTAGCAACCTGAGGATTTATTGTTGCTAATTTCTTCTCCCCCACTAAAGCAAATTATATTTTTTTTCCTTTAGTTTAATTGGGAGAAATGCCGGAGAGTTACAGGTCTGTATCTGGAAATCCAATTTACCAAAAACTATATTGCAACCCAGGATTCCTTTTGCATTTAGAGACACGGACATATAAAACAAACCTGACAACATATGGTCAAAATTAAAAAATTAATTACAAAAACAAAAATATTCCCTTGGCTGTGCTGGGACAGCTCCAAGAAAGACATTTAGCATTTGTATAAAAACATTTGATCCTTTTCCTTTACTTTGGAAAACCATAACATATATATGCTTCAACAAATGATATCCTTCACCTCCACATGCAGTGGGGCTAGATTTACATCATAACAGAATATGCCATAATTCTGGCTGAGAATTTGGCTTTTTCTTGGCTTCTTTGAGGTGAAAGGAAATGGCCAAAATACAAAAAAACATACTGCACTGGGCAAGACAGATGCGCTTGAAATCAAATCAAAAACATACCTGAGAGAGGGACTGTCTGAGGTGAGCTATTTGAGCATTGTGGCCTGTAAGATCCTGCTCTGAAACAATCCGTTTAAGCTTCTCCTTCTCTATAGCTATGCTGTTGAAGGCAGACTTCAAAAGAGAATGCACTAAGCAAAAAGAAAAAAACAAAACAGGTATTTTCTTGGCTACAGAAATCACATCGACATCTCACAATATTTCAGCAATACAGACACAGAGTGAGACTTCCATCCCACAGTAATGGACATTTGAAACAAGGGCCTGAACTTCAAGTAATCCATGCCAAATGAAGTACCAACACTTACAGCTTGCGATTGCAATGTGCTGTATGCTCACACATATCTCATCTGAGCATATTCTTGGTGCTGAATACATGGAAATGTGGATAGTTGGAAAAACTGTGTCCAATACGTGTTATTTTCTTTCTGGTTTTTATTTGTACTTTTCAGAGTAACAAAAACATCAGTTCTGCTAGACTGAACTAATATTGTACTAATAAAGAGGATTACTTGGTCTTTAAACAGGTTTTGAATTTTTTAAGATGTCAGTCTCACATTTTTTCTATGCTTGTTATAGAACAGCAAACTGATAAGAAAACCTTTTTAAAATGGTATTTTTCAGTTTGTAGGACCATTCACTTACTGGCAATAAAACTGCAATTCAAAAGTACATTCCTGTAATAAGCTCTTTTTCCACTGATTCCATTGACACAGAAAACATTGTACAAAAATGAATTCACAGGATTATGTGCAGCAGTTACATTCTGAATAATCTTTGGGGAGAAATAATGCATTTTGTTGAGGACAAAAGATGTTTGCAAAATCAGTCACTTATTTACAGAACCGAGAAAGCAGTTCAGAAGACTTCAAAAACAATTTCAGAGTTCGCCTATCTCTAAATTTACTACATGCATGGAAAATATAAGAAAGATAATATATACTGCCTTTGTGTAAGCCACCTGAACAGCTAAAAACTCTTATACAGTATTGCCCAACACAGATGAAAACCCTGGCCATAACTAAGTGAGGCCAATAAAGAAACACAACAGAGAAGCACATTACAGAAAAAGGCTGGGCGTCTCCAGCTACCTTTTTGTGCCATCAAGCAGAATTCTTCTTGAAGCTTCATGTACTCAGTAGAGCACTCCAGAGGGTCTGTCACATGGCTGGGGGGAGCCTGAAACTCAATGTCTGCACAAAGGTTGGGGTTGGATGAATGCAATCGAACGGGTGACATCGTAGCACTGAAAGGGACCTACAGCAAGAAACAGAAGAATTGCTGCAAAAGGTGTAACCAAACTTTTGACCTGTTGATGCAAAACAAGAATTTCTTCTGAAAAGACTTAGTTCACAATGTGAAGAATATGGCAAGAGTGAACATGTAACTTCTTACTCTCCTAAATCGCAACACAGCTGATGCAGACTTCTCTTTAATTTTTTCACTGAAATATAAAAAAGAAGGCCTAACAACTAACAGCTAATGATGGAGTATTTAAATTCTAACATTTACAAAAAAAGGATGATTTCCTAATGCTTAGAAGATTACTGGAAAACTGAACCATGAAACATGCTCCTTTATATTTGGACATTTGAGAGTAATTGTAGATGAGTCTGTTGTTGCAATACCAACATTTGAAGTATGAAAATTCCTCCACAGATCTAGAAATAGGATATAATATTATCAGATATATCACTGAAGTTTTTCAAAACTACTCATAAATCTGCAGTTGAAACTCACTGTACTGGCAATTATAAAGATGGAAGAAGCATATAGTCTTTCTATTATCTTTTTAACTAAACAAATAAAGAATAACAACAACGCATTAAAATCAAAACTCCACCTGATTTTCATTTAAAATACATAGACCACAAATAAATGCAGAGAGATACAGTTTAGTAAGATCAAGCAAATAATTTAATTTCTTATCTTTCTACTTTGCTTTTCCCTCTACTTTTCAGGTACAGCAATAAAAAAAATGTAAATGCAAGATTTTCTAAGTTATATATACATGAATCATGTACTGAGAAGTTACCTGTATGCTACATGCACTGTATGGCTACTACTGCTATATAAGTGATGCGTGTGCAAGAGTGTTTTGTATTTTACTTCAATGTTACCATTTACACGCATCTATATGAAAATCAGGCCAAGAACAAAATTTTCAACTGCAAATGCAACAGAAAGGCATGCAGAACTACATTTTGTCACTTAACTATTAACCACAGTTTATTGTATCAAGCACTGTTTAGTACATTAAATCTATTTAATTTCATTAGATTGATCAAATGCATAAATCAAGCATTTTCACACTGCAGCCCAATGTAATCATTCAAATATGAAAAATAGGGCCAAAATATAAAATGTCTCTTCCAAGGCATGATAAAGAGCAGAAGATAATATAAAAAGTCATATTACTAAAAGTTATTATCAACAGATGAGTTCTAGAACCACTGTCATCAGTGGCTGAACTTGGTACATTGTTATTTGAAACAGTTTTATGAATTCCTTTCTGTAAAAACTGACATCAATACACATTTTAGTTTTAGGTTCTGATTATCCAATTAAACCCTCAAAATCCTGTTGGATCTATTAATCATTCCACTCATGAGTGTACTCTGTGAAATACATTTTCCATGCTGTTCTTTCTTGGTTTCCAGATACATGTAGTACATTCAATAGTAGATCTATGGCACCTATCTCATAAAAGCTTTATTCCTGCTCTCATTTATTTTGATTTCCAGCTATATCAACAAAGTACATATTTTTTTTATTTGACCTCATTTTAGCCACATATCAAGAAGAATTTGTTAACAGAAGATGTAGAATAAATTCCTTCTATTCATACTGGGTATTTAACCCTTTATCTTCTTCACAATTACCAGGTTGCCTGTCTCAAGACCCCAGCATAACATTAGGTTAATGGACTACTGTGGCTAAACGTAGGTTCATTTCAAATTACTTTTCACCTTTCCCTTTCTTAAATGGGAGAGCAGGTTTCCAGAACTTTCTGGCTGGGAGCATCACAAAGCTTCAACTGTTCAAGGTGGCTCCATAAGGGCAAAGTAGGTATCTACACTGTACCTGTGTGTATGGAGAACATACCCAACCCTCCAGACCATCCAAAGGCAGGAAAGAAACTGACACCAGCTATAAAGTCAGAGCTTGAGGGAGAGTCCCCCCCAGCCCCACATGTCTGTGGTGATGGGGCAGGTTCCCCAGACCCACAGGGACTGGCAGAGCAGTAGGCAGGCTGCCCACACATGCAGGGGGGGCTCTTTAGTCATTCTCTGATGAATCAAGCTGAAGAGATCTGCTTTAGATTCACCATTCTGCCTCAAACCTCAGATGGCCAGGCTAAAAAGAAAGGTTTCTGCAATTATGTTTATTGAAAAAAAATACTATTTTCAATTAAGCCCTAAAAATGCAATTTATGTGTTCTACAAATATGTCACACTACTTGCAAGAAATATACATTCACATGACAGAGACAAGTAGCCTTGCTGACTGCTTTAAATTGAAGAAATACTGAACTGTTGATTGACGTGAACTCTTTTAGAAAAGTTTCCAAGCTACTTTCCGTAACAGATGAAAAATAACCCACATCAAACAGCCATTTTCATTCTCTTGAATAGGGAACAGTCCAGGAAACACTGCCAATATAATTATCTTCCCCTTTTTTCCTTACATGTCTGTGCTTTCTCTCTGTATTAATGGTGGCTTGATCCCGACTTTACTACCCATTCTCCTTTTCATTGTTTTTTATTGTTGCTGTTTTGAAGGTTTTCGAAAAAATATTTAGCTTCTTGATCCATCCCTCTAGTTTTCCCCACACAGACACTTCTAGCCACAACCTCAGATGAACCTTGTTCCAACTTCCTGCTTTACACCAGAGGTGTTGTACCCACTCATCCATCACCTTCCTCAGAATTACGTGTTCACGTAGGAACAGAATGTTCCTGGCTGAGTGGGTTGTAAGGCAAACCTCTTTCTGCTGTACATTTAGCTGATAGAATTCTGTATCCCTCAGTCTGTGTGTACAGCTTCCCTGTCTGAGAGAAACAACCATTTTGTGCATCAGTCAGGAAGAACAGACCATGGCCAGGAACACTGCAACAGCCACAGAGTCATTTTGGTGCCTCTAGCTTTCCTTCCTCCTGCATTTTCTTCAGCTCCTCCAGAACATCCCTTAACAGGTCCTCACTTGAGCTGCAGGTAACACCTCAGCAATTCCCTGTCCTTAGTGCCTCCCAACCCCAGTCCAGCTGCATTTGTCTCCTGAAGCACTCCCTAGGTAAGGAGTACAGCCCTTGCCAAAGCTGTTCAACTGCTGCTGAGCCTTCTGGTTAGAGCCACCCACCAACACTGCTCAGCCCTGTAAACTGGGAATCAGGCAGGTGTCTGGGCTAGGCAGGCAGACCGACACGGCAATCAATTACAGAGCACGAGTTCAGCATCAGCTGATTACAGAGGAATAAATTTAGATGAGTTAATTTCAAAGCTGGAGAAACAATGATATGTCTCGTATGTTTTAAAAGAACATAGCAATAACTGAGTTTGTGGTTCAAGTAGCAGAAGCTCAAGATAGTTAGGCTTAACCAGAAACTATGTCAGATCTAGGGGATTTTAGCTTTGGCCTGAACAGCAGACCCTGGAACACCTCAGCCTGGTGAAGACATTTGCTGCTTGGGATAGATAAGGAGTTTGCATTAAAGCTCACTTCAGTCTTTGGCTGAACAGTCTTCCCTATCTAGCTGTTGTACTTATCTGTTGATGGATTAGTACAAATGTCTATATTGGGCCTTCCTTATGAGTACTTTCTTGATAAAGCAGCAGCTGAAGATATCCTCTTGATGGCAATTCAATTTCACAAACAGGACTTCCCACAACTAATTCCCAGCCCTGGTGCTGATTTCATAGCTCTCTATTTTCTGACAAAGACTTAGAGAATTAGCAAAACTACATACAGACACTGAGGTAGTAATATGACTTTTTGGGATTATGGAACATAAACAGAAGGTGCCTCAAATGAAAAGGCTAACCTTATGCTACTTATAGAAATATCAGGAAATTTTATAATTTCATGGTTATTTGTAACAAATCTCCTTAGTTCTATTGTCTTGCTATAACGGTCACAACATCTTTTAACAGAATTTGATCTTTTATTTTCTATTCTGTATAGTCCATCCAAGATTTTCTGTGTGCAGGGCCTGAGTCTGTCACTTGCACTCTACATAAGGAGGAGGGACATGTACCATGTACACAAGCTCAGACCCACATTTATGGAGTACATTTGTGTTGGGTCTGACCACTTCTAAGGAACTCAGCTGAAAGGGGGTAGCATAGACACCTCCAAAAAGTGCAAGAAACATTTTCATAAGCTTATTTATTACACAATCAAGTTACACAGCTTCCCATCCTTAGAGCTATCCCTTGATTTTTAAATCCACTCACTGTTGTAGCCACTGCAGCTGCCAGTCTCTGCCGGCGTCGTGTTGTGCTGAACTGGCCCTTCGGTGCCGGCCCTTCCTGACAGTGAATGCAAGAAAAGAAGGAAGTAGAAAAAGAGAAGGGAAGGGGTGATGGGACACAGGAAGATGAAAGGTGATCAGAAAAGGGAGAGGGAGAGTCTTTAAGTGGGTTTCCATTTTGTTTACTCTTATGGCCTACACACGTTGAGGACATATCATGTGTTTTCAGCTGTGCATGCCAGAGACATAAAAAGCTGGATCCTTCACTAAATTTATCTCCAGATGAGTTGGACTGCAGTGCACTCACTAATGCTAGAAAAAACAAATCGACTAGCATTGCCATTCAGAGTAATAAGGCAATAATGGAATAAGAGAACAGAAAGAATGCTACAGCATGCCAGAAAATAAAACAAAAAAATCAAACTCCTTCTGGAGTCATTTGACCATCTAGAAGATGAATTCTGAAAGAGATCACTTTGCAATAGTGGAAGTGCATAAACTGTGGTCACTGAAGATGTATGTGGCTCAATGGTAATATTTCTCAGTGTGTATGTTATCTGGTGAGTTTTCTTAAGTAAATATTCCTGTACAGAGCTCTGGCATTTCCACATTTATCCTTGAGCCTATTGAATAATTTTCTCCACATATCACTTTTTTGAGTTCCACCTGCTTGTCCACATAATTGAAGGCTTGGCTTCCAGACCAAGGCAAAAACTCAGATAAAGAAGCACAAATAAAAACTAAGTATTTCAATGACTGCTTCCTTTTCTTCATGTCTAACTTCTGGCCTCATCCTGCTTAATTTTGCATTTATTTTACTTGCAAGAAATTTTTTCACTGTACACTAAAGTCAAGCAAGTAACTTTTTAATACAGAGGAGCTCCATACCTGTCATAAAGTCATTCTATTTAATCTTTAATCAAAATGCCATTATTTTGAAGTCATTTTAAGATTTTGGAAAACTATGAAATACATGTTTCTGCTTTTAGAAAACAATTCTTAACTCATTTACATATTTATTCACCTATAGCCACTACAGCATTTTTAGATCTTTATTTCTGCAAGAAGCCTGATCATCATACAAATAACAATGTGTAGATTGGACAAATGGAGACCATACTGAAAAACAGGACATTGTATTTTAATTATTAGCTGAACTGTCTTTCTTCTGTAACATTCCCAGTAGGGTTGCAACAGTGGAGAATGGCCAAACACTTCACCCTCTGGCTGATATTAGTGGCAGTGCCACTGACAGCTGGAAGGATTGCCTAATGATCACAGTAAAAAACCTGTGGATACTTTATAATATTTTATAGAATTCTCATATTAAAATGATGTGTGCATAACCTCTGAAATACTGAGAACAAATTCTGTTAAAACAGAGAACAGATCATATGCATAATGTAAAGCTCTTTGTGCTCCAAAAAAATATGTCCATTCTGTGAATAAGAGCATGGAAGAATATTCTTATTTAAATAATAGGGACAACCTATGTACAGAGAGAGATATGCACAAATTTATATGTATACAAGATTATGAATGCAGGTATGCATTATTAAAATGGGAATAGTGAGCTTTTCAGAACCACACACTCTCTTCAACACAATAGAAAGTGAGGTGATAATCTGAGTTACCATACTTACATACAATACTTACTTAAGGGGAAAAGTAATAACTAGTCTGGATCTGGTTTCAGTTCTGAGCTAAAAGCCTCAGTAAAGCAAGATGATCTTTCAGATTACTCCCTAATACACAGCTCTCTATTCAACTATTCCCCCTGTGAAGTCTTGGAACTTTAGAACTTTGAGATTTTGTGGGAAACCAAAATATCATGGCTCTTTAGTGTTTTGCAGTAATTTTTTTTCTCCCTTTGAAGCTGTCATGAGAATGATAACTTAACCTTTTACCCAAAGGGAAATAAAGAATATTTTAAAAAAAGGCAAACAAAAAAACCTCCCAAAAAAACCCCAACAAAACAAAACCCACTACTCAGTTCTTGTACAAAAGTATAATTTGTAAAATGAATTAATACAGGTCAACTAACCTGCTGTTACAGACCATTTTCACAAGATTTTAAATAGGCTTTTTAAAAACAAAATTAACCTCCTTCATAAAAGCAATCTCTCTGAAGAGAAGTAATTAATGTATTACTCTTGAGTAAAGGCCTGTAAATTCAGCTGTTAATTCTAAACAACTTAGCAATAGTAAACACCCAAACCTGCAAATGTATAGACACATGCTATACTCAGTTTTACTACAGGGGTAACCCCACTCAAGTTACAGGGATTAGCTGTGTGAGCAAAGTCAACTGCACACAATACTGGCATATTTAAGTGGTAATTATTAATGTCTAGGAAACAAATCAAGCAGCTTTACTTACAAGAAAAAGTATGTTTTAAATACATTATGCACCTGGCATTCATACTGCAAGAATATGTTAGCAGGAATCCAACAAAAGCTATCTCATTAACAAAAGGATGTTAACAAGTACAATACAAAACCTGGATGGAAGAATTCTCTCCTTGCCTCATACACGGAGGATACTGAGCCAGCAGAAATCATACCCTCACTCCCCATCACTCACAAAGCACACACCTTTATATAAAGCTCCCTAATTTTACGCTCCCCAGAAGGATGCTCTCAACATTGTACTATCAGAATGTCTTTGATGTAGTTAAAAACTGTTCATTCTGAAAAATAGGTGAAAGTACTCCAAATGAAAAGTACTTCAATGATGGCAAAAATAAGTGCAAGTACTCCAAATGGAATTAACAGTGAAATTAGCTGAAAGTTAGTTTGTTAATACTAGCATTATTCCGTAAAACTAATGAGATGTAGGAAGGTATGAGGAAAGTAATAGTACAACAGAAATCTTACTGGTACCAAATGTCGACCATTCAATAGCAATCTATGTGTAAGCACCATTAAGACAATGATCACAAATCAGACAAAATGATTCTCATTAGGGGATATCCTGATAAACAAATCAGAAAGACTTGAAGCAGTCTTCAAAAAATGAGCAATAAGGAAGACCAATGAAGTAGAAGGCATTTCTAATAGAAGAACAAAATGGGAAATAGCTTAAAGGGTTTGTAGGCATCAGAGGACATCCACATTTTAGTGTCAACCTAAGGAAATTAGGAATAACACAATGAGTCAGTGAGGCCATCTTCCTACAGACCACAGCTCTAGCGCTGAGGAGACAGGACAGCCCTTGGAAGAATAAACTGAGTCCATCAAACTAGGCAAGATAATGGAGTAGCCATCAAGTATTCTTTGTCTTCCATATAATTTAGAACAATTTTATTGTTTCTGTTTTACTGCAAATTAATTTATAGATCAGACAACAATAACTTAATACTTTGTTATAACAAAATAAGCTTTATATTTGCAGCAAGAACTCTGGCAGTAATTAATTCTGACCCAAGTTAGGCAGAGTTCATTATCAATCCAGAAGTGACAGACCCATGTAGAGCAATGCCATGCACTCAAACTCTCTCAGGGGAACCTGCAACCCTATTTGAAATTTTCAGGAGCTGAGGCACACCCCTGCCACAAACCACAAACTGCAGTTTTGATGGAAGCCCAGGCCGGTGTTACTTCAGCAAGGTGTAGGTAACATGGGAACAGCTCATTATTCACTATGACCAATCATAAATCGTAATACATTGACTGCTTTCACAATTTTTGTGGATAGGACTTCTCTGAGGTTACTGTGGCATGAAAGAAGAACATGCAGAAGTGACTGACTCTTCATAGGCATTAAGTACTTGCATGCATTTTACTGATATTTTAATTTCCCTGTTATTCAGCACCAAGGAAAAACTGTGACCATTCAATTGCATGACATGACATCATACACAAAAATTCCTTTTTAATCCAAACAGATACCTCGTTGTTCTACCTATTGTGATTATCAAAGTATAATAGGTAAAAAGAAAAATAAACTACAAGTACTGCAATGAGAAAGCTGATGCAACTATCACCTCTTCCTTCCTTAAGATTATTGATCTTAAATGAAAACTCCTTAATGTGCCTATTGGGGACATATTAAAAGCTTCAAAGTTTGTACTAATTTCAAGCTATTTGAATGGATTAAAAGTTGCTGACATTTATTTACTCAATAGCAGACATCACAGTGGTGATTGTTGGCTCCCAAAGCCAGTTGAACAGTCCTCATTATCAGTTGCTTAATTATAAAAAAGATCAGGTTTTAGATCAAACCTCAGAATACACAACTGCTTCCAACAAAACACAAGGCAGCAATATGTGCACATTATGCTTATTTCTGTGCTTTCAGTTCTCGGAAAGGATGGAGTAAATTCTTCCTTCACATAATTTATTTCTTGGTCATTTTATTTGTTCCCATATTAGCCTTTTACATAACAGGATGCTTGTGAAAGTACTTATAATTGGTTATATTCTAAGTATAGGTCTTGATAAAGAATACTAATGTGTTTATATTTCATTCTGCTTTTAACTTGATGTCACTTGTTCACTTGAAGGAAGTTGCCTTTCTTTGCAACTTTGGTATGGAATAGCAGTATCCCCATATGGTGTGTGTATATTGAGTTTTGAATACCTTAACTGACTAATATTCAGATCCCACTCCTTTCCCTAGATGGCAATATTTTCATATGAATGAAAATAAAATCAGTACTTTTCTCACTATCTTCTCTAGGTTTTGAAAAACAAACTGAGACTTAATTTACTTCATCAGAAACATGAAAGACAGCACACTGTTCCTACTTTCAGCTAATTTATCATTTCATGCTTAGAATGAAATCTCAAAGTACAGTGAAAAGTAAAACATAGTGCATTCAGTACCTGAAGTTGAATTTTTGCATCTTTGCTGACACTTTTTGTTCTCCATCGTCTCGTGACCCGCTTGTCTTTCTTTGAAATATCTACACAGTTAGCCTACATTACACAAATAGTTAAAAGCGACAAAGTGCTATTAAGTTGACACAAGCAACACAGACAATACAGCAAGTTAGTAAAGAATTGTAGCATTAGACAAGTACAAATTAGAATATAAGGAGAAGAATGCTGCTACTGGGGCCCAAAGTTGGAGCAGTGATCAGCTGCAGCTATCCATACACTTTCATAAACACGTGGTACAGTTAGCTGCTTTAGCAAAACTACTGGTACCCTTGGTTTCAGGGGTGCACAATATTTAGGACATGATCTTGAAATCCTCATGGATTTCTGTTGTGGTACTACTCAGACATTTGTACAGACAAGAAGATTCAGTGAAAATGCAAGACAGTATTTATGATTTAGGATCTGCTGTTGCTTTCTGGTAAGAGGAAAACTCACCCTGAACTGGGAAACAGTCCAAAACTTGGGACCTTTGTACTATGCCCCCTTTTCTAGAGCATGCAACTTCATCTTTGAGGGTCTTTGGGTCTCCAATCCTTAAAAAACTTAAAATATTATCTTAACACAACAAAAACTCCTCAAATATAACTTCAATTTATACATGTGTTCTATTGTAACAGTCCTCAGTTTTGTTTTGCTTAAATTACTTAATTATTTGATTTGTTCTATTTAACTCAAATATTGAATACATCTTAATTACTTGTTGACACATGAAACAGAAACAGTATTACACAAGATTAAAATAGACATATAAGCATTTCATCCAAGGTTCATTATTATTTCAGATAAATATTCTGAGTTAATAGACAACACCTCTATATTTTGTTTAACAGAAAGAACAAATATTTCAGTGTAATGATTTCTCTTCAAGCATATTTACCTGCATGTCTGTGAAATTTGGTGCTGACTGAGTCCTCTGTAGTATTTCTAAATTTTGAAGAAGTTTACTGAGTTCCACAAGGTTAGACTGACAATGAGCAAGATCTAAGAGATATAAAATAAAAATACATTAAGTGCTTCAATTCAGACTTTTTATTGCCATAGTGTCGATTGCTTGCACTTAATTGCATGACAAAAGTTAAGTGTTCAAACCCCGTGTAGTAAGGCATCCAAGTAAAAGTTCTCTTTTGTTGAACACTTGTTATTTTTATAGGAGTCAGCAACAACTCTGGACTTCGAGAAGTGATCATATTTGAATAATGACATCCATCAAAATAGCACAGATTATTACAATAAATTTTAAAATCAACATATAGACAGCAAAGCTCCCACTAAGTTTCCAATTATCTGAAGAGCTACTACGTGTTTATGTAAAGATGTAAACCACTTACAGGACTCTCTTATATCAACAAGAGGTTTTGCTGAAAGAACAAGGCATGAAAAGATAAAGTCTAACCTTCTGCACATCTGTCCATCTCTTCAGAGTCCTGCAACCAGGCTGCTACTTTACTCTGACCAGTAGTACAGGTGACGGGAAGGCTGTTACTGCAAGGTATAGGAGGCTGCCAGGGGAAGTTATTCTGTTGCACCTAAAGCACAATAAAATGCTTACATTTACTGTGGCTGTGTTGCTTTGTCAGGGTAATGACTATATTACTTCAGGATAGAAACTAAATTATTCATTGTGTTTTCAGTGAAATTTATAATTTGTCTCCATAGTTCCTGAAGACACAGATTTTTCAGAATAGCATGTTGGAGAATCAAATCAGGAACCTCACCAGTGGACTGTGCTAGGTACCAGTTAGGAAAGCCGTTGTTTAAGAGGAAGAACATAATCAGCAGAGAGACAGATTTATACCTGGTGGCAAAGGCTAGTGCAAACTGTATGGGTGGTGAATACTTTGCAAGATCTCTACAGCAGCCCATTCTAATGAAGTAAGGCTAAATTAGACAGCATTTCAGCTGATTTCAGCTGCACACCCTCATAGCTTTTCACTGGCCATCCTGTCCTTTTGGCATTAGAAGAAAAGCCCACTGAAACTGCCCACAAGTCAGCCATGAGTTTTCAACCAAGGAACGCTGCACACCTTTCCATCTGACACATTGGCAGCTGGTGAAGACTCTGTAGTAGATGCTGAGGGGAATATGTGGAAGCTGGCGTCCCTGGGAGATCTCACGATCTCATTCTGACGGTACAGCCGGTGGTGCCGTAACTTTGAAACCCATGCATCAAATGAATCCTGGGATTTCACCTGGAGAAAAATTTACTATCAAGAAAGCAGCCAAGATACTACTTTTCTGCACAATCTTTTACAATTCTATTTGTTTCTACAGAGTATGAAAAAACAGTATGTAGTTTTACTTTTTACCTTTAGGTGATAGATATGTTCTTCTGTGTCAAGATCTATTCTACGAGCCTTTTTTTTTATAGACATGACTGATAAACCAACATCAATGCTCCCATGGACCTTTCCTTTCTGTATCTAAAATAAAATCATCAGGGTAAAAATTTAGAAGTATCATGCACTTTTTCTATATATTTTACAGAATACTATCTAGTACTGAAATGGTTTCCCATTTTATAACATTATAGCATAAAGCCACATTAAAAAATAAAGCTGCACTCAGATTAACCATTTAACCACTTATTATATTTATAGTCAGACAAAAGTATCTCACAAGAAATGCTGGTACAATGCCAACTCCAAAATATAGGTGTGTTAAGTTATTCACACCAGTGCACAGGTACAGGTAAGTGAGAAGCAGAGAAAATTAGAAAGTATTTGACACCCTACTTCTATGAATTGGTAGTTATTGGTATAAAATATAAATAATTGGTATTAATTCTTTGTCCTATCCACATGTCTCAGAATAATCAGCTCTGGCTGACATAAAAATTAGAAAAGAAAAATACATGGTCAGGTTAATCTCCCAAGCAGCTTTATTCAAGAAACTACCTTTAGTAATTTAAGTTGTATTTCCATGGAAATAAAAAAGGTAGAATTCTTGGAAGACATAACCAAAATCATACATTATTTATTTTTAAATCCATCAACAACTTTCATGTGTGTACTTTCATAAATATGCCTAGAATGAGTATGAGCAGGCTGCACTTCATTAGAAGCTTTAAAGTCTTCAGCTCTACTTACATCAATTGGTGACTTTGAATATTTCAACATTCCATTATCCAGGACAAAAAACCTCTGAAATTATAAGAAAAAAATCCAAAAACATTCTTTCTTAATGAGCAGATGCAATTTAAACTGTGTACAATTCATCTGGATAAAGATTACCCTGTAACACAGGGCAGGAAAATAGTGCTTTTATCTACCCCAGCTGAAAACAGAACATTTGGAGATATAACTTCTTGAATAAGATGTCAAAACAACAAGAACATTTTGGGGTTTTTTTTCCATAGGTATGGTCACTAAAAAACTTCTTAAGAACATGATATTCATGTTCTTGTGAAGTTTTTTAGTGACTTATTAACAAACCCAAAGTTTGAAAACCTATATTCAGCATAGTTCCCAAGGTGAAATGTAAGGCAGAGTAGAGGGGGATGCTAAAATGTGAAGTTCTTAATCACATTAAAAATTATCTACACAAGTAGCCACATGTTTTTAAATTCATCTAGATCATCAGTAGTGATTGCCTTTACAGAACTGTGAAAGTTGGACTTCTCTTGCTCTCCTATAAATTAGTTCCATACCAAAACAGACACTTCGCCAAATAGCAACACATTAATATAATGTATTTTAAAAGTGTGGGAGCAGTGGTTTATTCCATAAATTCTTAAATACCTCATTAATTGATTTTTTGTAGGGTCAGATCAATTTTATTTGCAAATTCCCTCTGGATTTTGAATACAACCTTAGGCAGCAGGGACTGTGATTTGAAAGCCATAAACTGTGTCTGCAAATTAATTCCATACAGAGGTGGAAGAAATAGTTATACACTAAAATCATGGGCATTTATTTGACATCCTAATATTGTCTAGACAAAAAAAAAATCCCAGCTCATAAAATAAGGTAATAACATTCTGGCTGGTTTATGTGACATTTACCTTGTGCCAACCTTTTAGTGGCCATTTTCTCTTCTTCAGCATGAAACCTTCATGTTTGTCTGGCTTCTGGACATTGGTCTGGCCTATTTTCAGACCCTCTATGATTTCCCAGCTGTCAGGTTCCTGATGAAAAAGCATGAAGACACATTGATTAATTAATTTTGCACACACATGGTAAAAAATTGCATTTAGGAGTGGCACAAATTCTTCAATGCAAGACAAAGAGGAGGAGTCAGGCTTTTAAATCAATCTATTGAGGTACCAAACTATATGGTTACTATATTATGTCTAGCTGTATCTCATTTAAAACTACTAAATGCAAACATTTTCAGATGTCTAACCCTTACCAGGTAAGATGTAGAGTAAGAGTGCTCTTCGTGATATTTCTTAATTATAAAGAAATTTAAATTTTCTGATCTTGAAAGTACAAGCCACATTGTTTCTGAATGCCCTAGTTTTTCCTCCAAATCAGAAAAACTAGCAGATTCTGCTTTATTGTTGATTTTAAGCGTAGCTAGTGATAATCTTCAAAGGCATTTTATGACAGTTTCACTTGCTAATTGAGCCTTCAGAAATGTGCAAAAATATTTCTTTTCCCTGCATTCATTTTCACTGTATTATGAGAAATTTATAGGAAAGCTAACTAATTTTCTCTCTAGGGAAAAACAGAGGAAGAGTATCATTCAAGATACAACCAGTTGTGGCCTTTCATGGAACCAATTAAAGCATATTTCTGGTACATATCACTTGTTTTGTGTGGTGACTGGTGCAGCTCAAGACAGATTTACAATGTAACACAGTGAACAGGTAAAGAACAATATTTTTAAAGAGGAAAAGATGGAGTCATATTTTCTCTTAGAGTGTATTTCTATCCTCTTGCTACTACTGTAATTAAAAAAAAAATCTGCACCAGTTTAAAAATCTCTTACTGCCAGATTCCTCAGACTGTTTTACTAATTATACCCTACAAAGCTGTAAACTTGCATTTTCTCAGCTGATCAGTCATAACTCCAAGCAATGTTATGAAAAGTTAACAAGAGAGGAAGGAGGTCATATTGCATTAAACATTTAAAGGGAAAAAAATTGTCTCCATATTTCCAACAAAACTGTTCAGAGCCATGTGCTGTCAGTCTTTCACAGCACCTCCAAATAAACTACACAGCCCTAATAACATCAACATTACTATTATGAAAATATAGTTGCAAAAGTAACAGCAAATTTTAAAACTAAATTTTAAATAAGGTCTTGGTATTTTGAGAAGGGTGAAAAACTCTATCCCAAATAATAAATACTGCCGTAAATTATAATAGAACTCTTTATTCAGCTTAGTTTCCCCTGAATAACCATGAAATAATTATCTCATTGTCTGTAAATCCCCTACTCAATATGCAGCTTTGTTTTACTTCCCCATGTTTTGCTTCAATGTTCTATTTCCATTCTATAGAGGTATTATTTTCTCCCTACATGGAAGTACTTGGCACCTGATGGGGACAAATTAAACTCTAAGTCATACACCAGCAGAGAGTCTCTGCATCTCTGCCAACTGATTCTTCACCATATTGATTTCTCTTTTAGATGATCAGCTGCAGGCATAAGTCTTTTATCTACTAGATAACATCAGTATTGATTAATTCTCAGCTAGAAACTACACAATCTCATACAGCTATTCATTTAAACAAAAGACCAGATACAGAGGGATAAAATGAGCAATTATTCAGTGCAGTGAGGATACTTGTCTCCTGCTGCATCAGTGCCACAAGCTGTTCTTAAAACCCTCCTAACAATCCTAACTGTGCCTCACCCCGCAGTTTTGGGGTGTTGAGATATGCCCAATACAAAGGCCAGTATGAAGGAGAGACAAAAATGGGGAAAAAACAGAGTGAAAGTGATACACTTGAAGAATCCTCATCCAGGGCCAGTTCTCAAGCACAGCAGCAGTATTTTAGGACTTCAGTGATTCCATAGGTATTCCATGAGAAACAGCCCTGTGCAAAGCAGCATGACTGGGGGAACACAATCACAGCTTTCAGTCCCTGGCTCTGCACACATGCCCCTTGTTTGGGGATTAAGGGAGCCACTACCAACTGCTTTCTCAAGTTTTGACTGCAAAATATTTATTTTCCAAATAAAAACGAATAAACCATTTAATTTTCCCTGGATGAACAGAATGTTTCCTTTCAAAACTGTTTTACCAGGTCTGTTTCAAAACTTACAGATATTTAATTTCAGATTTTTATTTTCCGCCAAATATTCCATCGCAGCACCCTCACCTTTTCTTTTGCACCCTTACTTTTGCATCTGAAGTATCTTAAAATGAAGCTTTATTTATGTGGAATTAGACTTGTTTGGAATCACTTATACCAAAAGTGAGCAATTTACACAGAAAGAAGTTGACAAGGCTTCACTTTTTACAAGGGTGATGTCACCCCTGTCATCTTTTACTCTGTCTCAGGAAAGAAAATCTCAGCAAAAGCTTTTAAATTTCAAACTACGCACAAGGGATGTTACTAGGACATATTTTTAAACTAATATTTATTGGCAACAATTTCAGATTTGGATATGATTTGCTCTACCTTAATAAGAGGATTGAACTGGAAAGCTCAAATTCATAGAATCATGCAATATCCTGAGGTGGAGGGATCCCACAAGGATCATCAAAGTCCCTTATAGTCCCATTTTCTGAGAAAGGAAAATTTGTTCCTGGTGCCATCCACATGAAAAAAAAGTCCCAAACCAATCCCTAATTTTGTTAATATAACATCTACTAAAGATAACTGGCTCTTCTTACTCCTCAATTATAGAACAAAAAGCTCCAGGGCAGACTCACAATATACTTAATGGTAGAACCATACAAAACACTGCCCCTAAAATACTAGTCAAACTACTTTGTAATAACTCTAGAGGGAAACTCACTGCCCAGACTCCATGCCAGGCTTTTGCTTACCTTGGATAGTGAGAGATGATCACTGTCAAGGAACTGCTTACTTAAAGAAGGGTCTGTGCTTCCTGAGGAAGCCTTTCGCTCCAAAATATGAACACTCTAAAAAAATAAAGACAATATCATGGATCAAAACAGACAAAATACCAACCACCCCTGACTTAAATGCGCAAATGGTTTGCCTTCAAAGGCAATAAGGCAATATACTTCTCTTTCTTTATTACTGGGTTTTTAATTAATTACTCTTGTTTAACCTAGAAATGATGGTGAACTAAAAAAAAAAAAAAAAAAAAAAAAAAAAAAAAAAAAAAAAAAAAAAAAAAAAAAAAAAAAAAAAAAAAAAAAAAAAAAAAAAAAAAAAAAAAAAAAAAAAAAAAAAAAAAAAAGCCAGGAAAGACAAATAATGCAGTTCTTACCTCTAAAGAGATTCAAAGCGCTCCTAACCAGATCTATCACATTTTCTGTTAATATACAAGACACTGAATGCACATACTCTGCAGTCAGCACTGCCCTACATTCACTTCACAACTTCACATAAAATATTACTGCCTTGAAAATATTCATTATCACACCTTAGCATTTTGTTATTGGCTTCTCATCTGAGAAAAAGTAACACACTACACAAATGCTTTTAAATTACAGGTATTAAAAAATTAATTACTGTGTCTCAACTTGGGCTGCTGGTGAATGTTCATGGAACACTGTGATCCTAAACCATTGCAGCTGTTTTTACATATGACAATACTATAAAATTTTGCATCTTCAAAGCAGTGTAATAAAAATGAAATATATGCCACAACTAGCCCTGAAAAGACTGCTATTCTTAAGATATATCTAAAATTGCCTCTCCATTTTCCAGAAAATGGAAACACATATTTCCATTTTTCAAAAACTCCTACTTTATAAAAGAAAAAGCATTTTTGATAAAAGAGAAAATTACCATTACCATCTGCATTTCATTCTCTGGTGAAATTTTGCTACATCTCATCCTACTATTTGGTAAGAATTCTACCACAACATGTCATTAGTATCTCTGGCATAAAATAAAACTGCTTCATTTCCAGGACACACGGCACAATGACAAACTTGCAATGGCAATTACCCTCTGAGAAGCATATGCTTTTCTTAGCTGAAAATGCCAATTAAGTTTTGTTCACAATTAAGCTTCCTTACATTGACTGAAGAGATTACCCAGGTACCAGCAGCAGCAGAAACAATCAGGAAATATAGAAGTACATATGAATGGCAGTGTAAATATTTTTGTTTATATAAATTATTAAGTACATAAAGGACCATAACCAAACTAAATTAAAATAAACACAGGTATTCATTTACATGCATATATGTAACACAGACACAGTCTTGCTGCAGAGCAACACACAGACCTTCATTGTTCTCTTTCAAGTTGCAACTGTGAATGAGAATAGGAAAATGTGGGGAGTGCCTCTGTTTTCAGTGGAGATTAATAACCATCCCTACCACCATGCAACAATAATCAGCATTTATTTTCAGCTACTTTTAATTAAGTTTTACAGTGAAGAATGTGGAAATGCAACAGTATTATGTTACTCCAAGGCCAGCCAGCAAAACACTTTGTCATTTATGCTTTAAAAACTTCTGCTTTTTCAAAGGAAGTTCAACCTACTTATTTAGTCCAGTGTATTTTACTAGTCAGATGATGGAAAAAAAGTATATATATGTAGCACAAGTGCCTATGTTACATATCAAATAATTTAATAAACTAATTTGAGCTGAGAACCACAAAGTTCCTAATGACAATGGTAAGCTTTCTCACCAAAAAAAGGAAATGCTACTTATGTACACAGTATGACATTTTAACAATATACAAAAGAACCTAAATCTGTTCCTCCAAGGCAGGTTAAAATGTCTCTTGATTAACATAATCAGGATGATTCTCAACTTTCTTGCCAGTTTTGTCTGACAGGCAGGAATGCATCCATCCCGAGATGGAGCAATGCCCAACACAGATGTTCTGAAGGTCTCATATGTAGCAGCTGGTGCAGTTTGTTGTTACATAACTGCAATTTTATTTTGCACAATATTTAGAGAGGAGTAGCCCAACAGCCTTAGCTTGCCAGATTTCCAGTGACATTTTCAATTACATGATTTTAAGTCAGGAAGGTTTTGTGCCTTTTTTTTTTAATTAGCCTTCAGTCATTACAGTTCCACTTCAGCTGAAAAATACATTATTAGCCAGCAGCACTTTAATGAATGCTGACTTATTCAACTATTTGTTTGAAAATTAGAAAATGAACCTATTTTAAGTAAAATTGCCTTCTTTACATTCCTTACTTCCAAGAGTGTTGGCTGGTTGTCTATAGATGTTTGTTTTTCAATTCTCTTTACTCATGACCACACTAACACTGATACAAGACCGTTTTTTTAGATTTGTGACATCTCTAGCATAATACTAAGAGACCTTACTTTGTACAAAATGTTTTCCATTAAAACATGCTATTTTTCTGCAAAATTACAACTAGAAATCACACAATTGCTTGACATTTTGAAAAGCAGCTAATTTTACAGTGCAAGAGTTTAGTTATTCAGAATCAAAGAAATAAAAATTATTTCAATCTTGATGTTATTGTCAAGGGTTTTTTCATATTTTAAAACAGAGTTAGGAAAGAAGCACTAAACAAAAGCTCATAAGAAGGAATAAAGAGGCAGGTCAACAGTGTTTCTGGGGTTTATTTATAATCAAAGTAAACAATGAATAATAATCCATTAAACTAGGCACATCAATCAACATGGTACTCTTATTCCTATCATCCCAAAAATACAGTCAGGCAAAATCAATGTTGGCATTGCTACATTCCAGATTCCCCTTATGTTTCAGGATCACCACACTATAGCTGGTTTCTCTTGGAGGAAAACACCAGCACTAGCAAATTTTGTATGCTCTTGAAAACTAATTTAACATAATTCCATTGCAAAATCTTCATCCTAACTACAATCTTTCATCTTCATGAATATCCACACATACATTACCTAGGTGGCACACATTTGCCTCAAAATACCCCTAGCAAGCCAACATATGGGGAACACAAATGTTTGTTCTGCCCTGCATTCTTTTTCCTTCTTTCCCCGAAGACACAAGGGAGAAGGAAATTCACGGAGAAAACAAAATAGCACTATGATGTTGCATCATATTTTCATCTTCTGTGGAAGGCAAGAATGGAAAACAGATTTTATAATATCCTTCCATGTATCTTGCCAATTTCTTTTCTCACTTTGGAGTTTAATGACTCATACAGCTCGTTATCCTTGTTTTGGCTGGGACAGAGTTCTTTTTCCTCCAAGTGCTGTGTTTTGGATTTATTATGAGAACAACATTGAAGGCACAGTGATGTTTTGGCTGTTGCTGAGTAGCTCTTACCCTAAATCAAGGACTTTCTGGTTTCTCCTTCCTTTCTGGCAGAGGCCAATGAGGAGGTGCATGAGGAGCTGGCAGGGGCATGGCCAGGACAGGTGACCTGGACTGGTCCAAGGGATATTCCATAGCACAGAAGAGCAAGGACAGTGTATAAACTGGGGAAGTTGGATGTGAGAGGGCAATCACTGCTGGGGGATGGGCTGGGCCTTAGCCTGCAGGTGGTGAGCCATTATACTGGGCATCACATGCCTTTCTTGGGGTTTATTTATTTCTCTCTTTCCTGTGCTTTCTTTCCCTTACAATCATTATTATATTTTATTTCAATTGTTAAACTGTTCTTATTTCAACTCTCAGGTTTTCCCTTTTCTTTCCTCTGCTTCTCCTCCCCATTCCACTGGTAGGGTTGGTCTCCATCAGACCAGAGGGACTCTAATTTAACTTTACTGAATCTGACTTCCCATTAAAACAAAAGACATTCAACTGTTTTCACAGGAAAGGCAAGGAAAGAAAACTGCTTTTAAGTAGAGACAGAAAATCCAATGGATGACAAGTCTGACACTCATGCCTCTCCCTTCTGCTTTGCTGCTTATTTACCTAAGGGAATGAATTATATTTAATGCAAAGAGGTCTCTATAATTTATAATTTATTAATTAAAAAAATACAAACTGGTGAGGATTTTATCACTTACATTGGATGCAGACTCTCAGAATGTGCACAACCACAGAAATGTGCACAACATGTGGTTAACAGTTAATCAATGAAAAAGATCTGGTGGATCATTTTGCTTGTTCACAGCATTCTAGTAATCTCCAACAACCATAACCATGGGGCATAGGCATACACTGTCCTTCAACAGCAATTCAAAACAGATCTTTTCTGGCTGGGTTTCCTGTGTTGTTTTTTCAATCCGAAATACTAGTACATTTTTTATTATTTGCTAGTCACTGGAATTCTTCCTGCAACCTAACAAAACTGTATTCTTCCTTGAATTCAATTTAGTATGAAGTGCAATGTTTAATAACTTTCTCTCAATTAAAACTACACTATTTTCTGGTTATCTAAAACACAGCAGAAATAGTAAGGTAGACAGATTTGACTTCATACATGCCAATTTTTACTACCTTCTAAACAAGCTGATATATGCCGAGTTAATCTGCAATATTATTTGCAAAGGGAATAACCTTGAAACTTGCTTTTCTCTTAGGCTGCTTCTTAGCCAGCTCTGGCTTTCCTCCTGTTAATGTTGGAAGAAAGACAGATTCTTCAATATAATTGTGAGAGAAGAGTGAGTGCAAAGCAAAAAAAACATATCTCATCAATGTGTATCTTTCTATCTTCTAGCACAGTTTTTAAATTTTTATAAAGCAGTCATGGTCCTATTCTTATCCTCAGTCTCTTCTATTGGCATGGCTCCATAGCTGTTTTCAGCAATCTCAGCATCAACTAAGTGACAAAGGAACTTAGCAATACTTTGTGAATAGCACACACAGTTAACATTTTTTTTTCCTTCTTGTAAGACATGTTCATCTTGTACAGAAATGTACTTAAGAGCAACATTTTTTCTTTGTAACCTTTTTACTGAAAGACAAGTATATGTAAGATGCAGTTCTGTAGCATATGAATAATACCTAACTCCTTCTTTCCTGGGATATGCAAAGTAAACCTTTCTTGTGTAACAGAAATGTCAAGGATTTGTTAGCTCAGAGC